GTGTCACCACCGCGGCCGTAGAGTCAACCATTGCGATTGCAACCGCCGCCGGTGAGTCTACCGCGGTGGGTACAGCTGTAGCCAATCCGCTGCAGATGCATGGTACCGTAGTGTCCTTCGTTGAGTTAGCCCCCCGTAGTACGCGTTTACCGCCGGCGTCTTGTGCTACACACCGGCTTGTGCTGGATGAACCGGCGGTGGTATTCGGTGTGGTGTTTTGTGTGTGTGTTGAGTTTTATTTTTCGTCCCTTGCGTGTGTGATGTGTGTGTGTTTTTTTTTTTTTTCCCTACCGTCTACCGTAGGTTGTGTAAGATATCACACCCCTTGGACTAATTTTGAAAGGACGATTACTCGAAGACGAAGCGGATGCCGAAATCAAAGGATGCGTTTTCGGGAAGTTCTTGACGAGACGGTTCCAACGCCCCACCTATCTATCCCTCTGCTGCCACCGGCTCCTCAGGTAGCCGCTTCCACGACGACGGGGGCGACTACCACCACCGCCACCGGCGCCACGACCACCGCTACGGGCACCGGCGCAACAAGCGGAGCTACGACGGGGGCGGGCACCACCGGTGGCACCGGGGGCACCACCGGTGGCACCGGGGGCACCACCATCGTTGACAATGCGGGGGTCCGGCAGGCCACCGGTAACGCGAATACAGGTCAGTCCGGCGGCGGCGGCGGCGGGACCGAGGCGACGAGCACTGCGCAGGAGACGGCGACTGATGCGGTTTCGACCGATCCCGGGACGGTGTCCTCGCGTTCCCCTTCGGCGACGCTGGGGTTGGTGAGTTTTTTTTTTTTAGGACGTGTGGTAGATCAGTACGGACAGGTGATTACTGGATATAGAGAGATCGGAACGACTTTTTAGTGCGAGGATAACAACAACACACATGCAACCACAGGAAGGCGAGGTGCCCGATCGAGATAGTACCACAGTCGAAGGGGAGCAGTAGAGAGCTGAGCAGCAGGGAGCAGCCGCTTTGTGCAAGCACAAGCAGAGAGCTGAACTTGCGTCAGGCAATTTTGGGGGCGTTTCTCTTGACTTGTTGCGGTAGTGTTGGGTCTCACGGACGCCATTCCGTCCCTTTTATCTTTTCATGGCGTCTCTACTTTTTCCTCATCGCCCCCAACATAGTTAACATCCGGACAAGCTCCCCCCCGGCGTCTCCCCCCGCCCCCCAGCTGATGATATTCCAGATCCAGTTCCTGAGCTCGCTGAGGCTGCTGGAAGCGAACATCACCGCGCCTTTCCGGCGCATGCTGGACCAGCTCAAATGGCTTAACCTGCATTTCGACGTGGACTTCGTCGGCTTCGCTGGCTGCGACGACGAGGTGTGTTGTGTGTGCACGATATGTATGTGATGAGCGTACGGCGGGGGGGGGGTTACTTTTGCATGCCTTTGTTGTGACAGAGACCATTGACCAACGGCGTCCTCTCTTGTTCCTTCCTACTTTTGCCAACGGTGGCTCGAAAATGTCTTCCCTGTCCGACAATGCATCCTATCGATGGGCGTACGGGGGGGAGCTAGTCATCGTGGGACCGGCGGTGAACATTGGCCAACCGGATGCAGCAACAACGTTTACACGCCACACCCGTTGCGAGGGTGATAACTTGCGCTCTCTGCTCGTTGTCGAACACGTTTGTGATCGCATGGTCGTTGTATTGTCGAAGAGGCGGATGTGTATCGGATGTCAATGTTTGGTCAATGCGGGCCGTACGTACATAGCAGGCATTGGGAGCACGACTCCAGACCCTTCGGGCACGCCTGAATCACGACACCTGATCAACACTGTTGTTTTATTGTCTTCGAAAAATTACAATCACACGGAACCCACCCCCCACCCACCCACCCACCCACCCACCCACGCACTTGAAAAACCAGGACTCATTCACCTGGACAGAAGATGACAACGGTATGTGGGCGTTCAACACCTTTGCGGTCTTCGGGTTCATGGCGCTCCTCATCTTGTGCCACATCCTGCTGCTTTCCTACATCGAGGCGTCTTGGTTGTCTCAGGTGTGTGCCGCTGTGCGGAGTTTTTTTTTTTTTCTCGGCTATTCTGGGTGGCCGCACCGGGCCCATGTGTCATTGCCCTCCTTGTCCTCCAAAACCCCCACGAAATGTTGTATTTCATGTCACTGTTTTCCTGTTCTGAAAACGAAAACGCTCTTGACTGCTGTATTCGCTGCCACGAATCCGAAGCCCTGGGCTGCGTGTCGTCCATGGTGGCCACAGCAGTAGTGAGTCGTGCCGAAGTAAAGTCACTACAAATGAAGGAAATTAAGGCCAAATGAGGGAGAGTGAAGATAGACCGAACGACCGATCCTCGGGTCGGATAACTATGTACAACTAGCTACATATGTGTTGCGCGAAGGGGAACATTTGTTTTGTTTTTTCATGGAGAACGAAATCGAATCTCGTGGGTTGCATATGTTTAGTTTTTTTTTTTTTTCTAGCTCCCGTAACGACGGTGTTTTTCCCTTGAGGCCAATTTGTTATTCTCTTCCGTCTCCAATATATGTGTGGTATGGTTTTTTTTTCAGGGATATTCACGGTGTAGAACCGCAACGTACCGTATGCATACCATCAAGACAAACCGCACCCTGACCATGCCTGGATTTTCTGTTTGGGTCCGGTGGAGTGAATATCGTTCTGTGTAGGTCTCTCTAGTCGTAAGCCCGGGTCTCTCGCCACGCGCGATAAAATATACCATGTGTCGTTGAACTAAGTAGATGGACGTTGGCTCTAAATGACTGGGATATGTATCGCCGCTCGGGCGAGGTTTGCTCTGCTGACGAGTCATGTTGGACGCGTGCGAACCGAAGACGGTTTTTCATGGTGGTTCTGGCGCATCTCAGGGAGATAGATACATCATGAAAGGCCCCTTATACGATCGGTATGGAAGCCCGTTCCCTCAACCATTTTGCTTGAGACAACTCTTGTCATTCATGCCACGACAATCATGCATGTGTACACGCGGTTGTGCTGAAAGTGTTGGGCGGCTTTTGCGATGTTGTTTTTTGGCGTGTGTTGTGTTGTTTTTTTCAGGCAAACGCCATCCATCGCCATCGGCTGGAGCGCAGAAGAGGGCGGACAAATATCGGCCAGGTATTGTACCCCTGGTGTGCCGTCCTCCCTGGGGGGTGTGGTTGGCTGCTCTTGTGGTGGTGTCTTGTGTGTTCCTTTTCGACGGAAACGAGACTTACCAGGAGCTGTTACCGTTATCCTCGTCGTCATTGTTGTTGTTTCCGTTTTGTAACGGTTCGAGACCTACTAATATTACGATACGAGATGTTGTCGGTATCGTCCTTGTCGTTGTTGTTTTTTTGTGTACGTCGCGGGTGTTGTCAGCTGGCGGCTTTCATCGGCACAACCGAGACGTGGCTCCCGTCGTCATCGCCGTCGTGGTTAGCTAATGTTGGGTGTTACCTCGATGTTAACATTGTTTTTATGTCACTGATGACGTTGTTGACCGTTGCTGTCTCCGCGGGCCGGCCGCCGCAGGAAGCCTCACCAAATCCAAACTCACATCAAGTGATCCACTCCGAGGAATACCTTAGTAACTTTCGCGTACTCTGTTAGTTGTTTCCTGTTTTTCTGCCTCGACGGACGACATGTACAGCAAGTGGCTTCGCGTTTTCCGGTTGCCATCATGGGGGCACTGCTGAATCCCCCGTGCCCCCCCCCCCCCCCTTTTTTTTTTTTTGCTCCCCGCGGGTTGGTGTTTGGAAACAAAAAGAAACCTAACACACCCGTCTGAAAAAAACCACACCAACCCCCGCCTGGTACTATTAAAAAATACCCTTACCTTTTTTTTTTTTTTTTTTTTTGTTCTTGGGC